TGGGCCATGCCAGCTGCTCTACGCAGACATCGCCGGTCCGCTGGAGGAGACGTCGCTGCGAGGTGCACGCTACGCGCTGACCTTCATCGACGACTGCACGCGCTTTGCCTGGACGTTCCTCATCCGGCACAAAAACGACGTCGGTGCGGCCCTGGAGCAGCTGCGCAAGGACCGTCACGTCGTCAACGCGCTCCGAGGCGCCACGCTGCAGACGGACAGCGACGCCGTCTTCAAGAGCCAGGACTTCACCGACCTGTGCCTGGCCTTCGACATCAAGCAGCGCTTCTCGCCACCGCACTCGCAGGCCAAGAACGGATCCGCGGAGCGCAGCTTCCGCACCCTCTTCGAGACGGCGCGTACGATGCTGTTTGCTGCGGACCTGGACAAGCCGTTCTGGGGCTTCGCCGTGCAGCACGCCACGCTGCTGCACAACATCGCGCCACGCAGGAGCCTCAAGGACAAGTCACCGTTCGAGGCCCTGACTGGGCACGCCTTTGACGTCAGCCTGCTGCGCGTCTTCGGCTCGCCGGCCTACGTGCATGTGGAGAAGAGCAGCACGCGGCACAAGCTTGACCCACGCTCACGCGTTGGCGTCTACGTCGGCTTCGCCGAGGAGGACCAGGCCCACGTCGTCTGGATGCCGGACACGCGACGCGTTGTCCACACCATCCACGCTCGCTTCGGCGCCATCAAGAACAAGCATGCCGCCTCCTCTCAGCAGCAGCAAGAGCAGGACAACAGCGGAGCCTCTGCTTCGCATGCCAACAAGATCGCTCAGCGTTCAACCGAGGACAGTGCCACTGGCGCTCCCACTGCACCACGTGCGGGGGAGCCGCAGCTCCAGCCACGCGCCCTTGGCGGCTCCGTCTGGGACCAGCTTCTGGTGTCCGAGACCCTCGGCGACAAGGACACCTCTGGTGGCTCAACCACCACGTGTCACGTTGCCACCAGCGCTGCTGGTACGGGGGAGAAGATATCAGCAGTGGGTGGTCATCTACCAGACATCGCTGCTGGCAGTGTTGCCACGTCAGCTGAGCCAGCCACCGTCAAGGAGGCGCTTGCCTCGCCAGACTCTGAGGAGTGGCGCCAAGCCATTCTGGACGAGTTTGCGGCAATGCAGGCCAATGACGTCTATGACGTCGTGCCTCGCGCTGACCTTCCCAAGGGCCACAAGCTGCTCCGCAGCATGGTTATCTTTCGGAGGAAGCGCGATGACCAGGGCAAGGTGATCAAGTACAAGGCGCGCTGGGTTGCCAAAGGCTACTCCCAGGTCCACGGTGTCAACTACACGGACACCTTTGCCCCGACGGCTACCATCGCAGCCATCCGCACCATGCTCGCCATGGCCGTCGCGCGTGGCATGGACATCCAGCAGATGGACGTCAACACGGCGTTCCTCAACGCGCCCGTGGATCACGAGATCTACGTCCAGCCACCGGCCGTCGACGGCATCTTCTCGCCGAATACGGTGCTGCGCCTCAAGCGTGGGCTGTATGGGCTGAAGCAGAGCCCGCGCCTGTGGAACCACACGCTGGACACCTGGATGCGCGAGCAGGACTTCGTCGCCACAGCCACGGACGCCTGCATCTACCGCCGCACCTGCAAGGGTGGCAAGATGATGTGGGTTGCCGTCTACGTGGACGACCTGCTCATCTTCGCCGACAGCGACAGCGACATGGCCGCGTTCAAGAAGGCCATCTCCAAGCGCTTCAAGATGAAGGACCTGGGCAGCCCAGACATATGTCTCGGCATCAAGGTGCAACACGACCGTAAGGCCAGGACCGTCACCATGAGCCAGGAGCACTACCTGCGCAACGTGCTGGAGACCTTCGGCATGGCTGACTGCAAGCCTGTCGGCACGCCGCTCTGCACGGGCTACGTCGACAAGCCAGCCGACAAGGAGGAGCCACTCCCGGACGTGCCGTTCCGCGAGCTACTTGGCTCCCTCCTCTATGCTGCGACGATGACGCGCCCAGACATCTCGGCAGCTGTCTCCATCCTGTCTCGCCGTATGCAGCACTTCGGCATGGACCACTGGAAGGCTGCCAAGCACCTTCTTCGCTACATCAAGGGCACCTTGTCCTACACCATCAAGTACGCCGCCACTGGCGACGCCAGCAACGGCAGCACTGCCGACGGCGTGCTCTCAGCGTACTCGGATGCGTCCTTTGCCTCCGACGTTGACACGCGACGTTCCCGCACGGGCTTCGTCGTCTTCTGTTCCACGGGCCCCGTGTCCTGGAACTCCAAGCTGCAGGCCACCGTAGCCACAGCCTCCGCCGACGCGGAGTACATGGCTCTCGCAGCCACCGCACAGGAGCTCATGTTCCTTCGCCAACTCCAGGAGGAGCTCACTGGCGCCGTCCTGTGCGAGCCCACGCTCGTCCACACGGACAACCAGCCGGCGCAGCGCGTTGCCGAACACGCCGCCTCGCGCATGCGGCACATCCTCGTCAAGTACCACTACATCCGCGAGTGCGTCGACACCAAGAGGATTGTGCTGAGCTACCTCGCCACGGAGCACATGATCGCAGATCTCCTCACGAAGATCCTCCCTCGGCCCAAGACGGCTCAGTTCTGCACGATGCTGTTCGACCAGCGTCCTCTGCCAGGCTGCCAGCCACGGGCCCGTCCTCATTCGGGCCGGTCGCCACGTCCTTCGACTCCGCGTCAGGACCTCTGAGTGGCCGCGCACCACAGGACACGCCTTCACTCGGGCCAGCCTTCCACAACAGGCTGCGCACCACAGGCACCAACCATTTTCCTAAACGTGTTCCACAACACACGTCCTTACTCACATCTCACCTACATCTGCCCATGCCATTCCTACATGCATGACATCACCATCACCATCAATCGCGTTTCAGAACGTCAACGCAGCAGAGAGGTAGGTCAATGCGGGGGAGTGTTGACAGGCAAGTCCTGCCTGCTGAGTCATCATTGACCTCCCTTCTTCACGACACCACAAATTCACATTCACCTCTCTTGTGTTCTGGAATGTTCACGTGATTTCCCTCCAACCTGTTGCACGTGCAGTGTTTAGCTTGTGTGGTTGCTCGATGTTACATGCTCTTGCATAACACACCACATAACCACACAACTCTCAACAAACACTGCCACGTCACCACTTTGCGTTGTCGACAATTCTTGTCTTCTGCTCTGTTTCTTTCTGTTGGAGTGTTCATTCATCCTACATCCTTGTTTGCTTCACAACTCAAGTAAACACACACAACTCTCTCTTGCCAAGACAATCTCCCACACAACACACAGCACACACAGCACACACAGCACACACACACACACACACACACACAAGTCTCCAACAACAGCACCACCACCATGAACTTGCAACACCAGCCGCTGGACTTTGTGTGCTACAGCGACGCCAGCTTCGGCACAGACCAGCTGACGGGCCGCTCCACGACGGGCTTCACCTGCTACATCAACGGCTGTCTTGTGTCTTGGAGCAGCCGGCTGCAACCCACGGTTGCGTTGAGCACCGCTGAGGCCGAGTACATGGCCATCTCCGCTGCAGCGCAGGACGTTGTCTTCCTGCGGCAGCTGCTCATGGACCTCGACGAGCCCGAGGCTGGAGCCACCAAGATGCTGACAGATAACCAGGCGGCCATCGCCATCGGCAACGACCACGTCACCAAGCCGCACGAAGCACATCCGGGTACGCCATCACTTCGTGCGGGAGCTCATCGCCGACGGAACCATTGTGCTGCAGCACTGTCCCGGCACGCAGATGGTTGCCGACGCGCTGACCAAGGCACTGGACAAGCACACCTTCGAGCAGCACCTGCCACGACTGGTGGGAACCTCGGCGGCTGAGACGGAGCAGAGGAAGGCAGTTGAGGGGGAGTGTTGAGAGTCAGTGAGTTTCTGTTTTGTGTTGAGTCCTTCCTAATTTGCCTTCTCATGTGGTTTTGTCTTGTTTGCCAACAACACCTGCTTTGTGGTTTTTCCGTTGGCAAACATTCCTTCCTCTCTGCTGGCATGCATGTGTGCCAACTGCCTCTCCTCTCCTCCTTCCCCTGCACACGTGAGTTGTGTGCCATGTGTGCCGTGTGCATGCCCGTCGTGCTTGGAAAATGCCATGTGTTCGTGCCATGCAGTGTTGTGAAGTGTTGTCTGTTGTGTATGCTTGCCTGCAAGCATTCATGCCATGCCTAGCATTGCTCTGCGCGCATGTATGCATGCTGTTCGTTGTTTAGATTGTTCGTGTTTGTGCACACGCTGCCCATGTCGCCTTGACAGCGTTGTGGACTGTGTGCGTACTTGTCTAGTGTTTGTTTGAGCGTGCTGCCCGAGTTGATTTGGCAGCAGCTTGCTGTGTTTGTTCATTCTCCTTGTGTTCTTGTTTGTTGCGTTTGCCTACAGTAAACACACATATAAACAGACACACCTCTGTTCAGTCTTGATGGACACATTGCTGTATGTCTCCACCTTGGTTTATTACCTTTCAAACAATTTTGTGGCGTCTTCATGTTCCATTTATTTGCACTAAAACAATCATTCATTGCATTCATTCCTTTTGTTACAATAGTTTGCGAGCTGGTGGATTTGACACAAAGGATCATCATCATCAGCAGCATCATCATCATCACCATACCATCTTCATCTTCATGATCATCATCATCATCATCACTGGTTCTTGTCCTTAAACAGCACACACACACACACACACACACACACACACACACACACACACACGCACACACACACACACACGACTTACACGGAGGGGCTGGGGCCCACTCCAAACACCGCGACAACACCTGTTCATGCTTCGTCACCATCGTCACTCGTTGACTGAGCATCTGAAGATTGGATGTCGTCACTGTCATCGTAATCATCATCGTCATCCTCATGGTCCTCGTCCGTGCTGTACTCATCCTCAATCTGGGCTTTGAAGCGGTTCTCAGACCAAGACAAGTGTCTGTCTTTGTTTAGAAGGTTGTATCGATCGCGAAGCTCTTCACGTACGACCCATCCTCCACCAACGCGAACCTGCACAATTCAATTCAACAGCCACACGATTCGTGAGTCATTGGCATGCGAGGTGCGCGCACGTGTGTTTTGTGTGAGTGAGTGTGTGTGTGTGTTGTGTTGTGTGATTGTGAGTGGCGTTTGAAGCGTAGAAAGCAGCGCGTGCAACTCAGACCCACCAAGTAGTCCTTTGGAATATGTCGGCGTTTGCGAGGCGTTCGATCAATAGCGACGCTTGCGACTCGTGGAATCCATGGATCACGAATAGGTGCTCGTGGTGGTTGTGGAGGTGATGAAGGTGTTCGTGGCTGTGGAGGTGGAGGCGGGGAAGGTGTCCGTGGCTGTGGAGGTGGAGGGCGTGGTGATTGTGGAGGCGGGGAAGGTGTCCGTGGCTGTGGAGGCGGAGGTGAAGGTGTCCGTGGTTGTGGAGGTGGAGGTGAAGGTGTCCGTGGTTGTGGAGGTGGAGGTGAAGGTGTCCGTGGTTGTGGAGGCGGAGGTGAAGGTGTCCGTGGTTGTGGAGGCGTAGGTGAAGGTGTCTGAGGTTGTGGAGGCGGAGGCGAAGGTGTCCGTGGCTGTGGAGGCGTAGGTGAAGGTGTCTGAGGTTGTGGAGGCGGAGGTGAAGGTGTCCGTGGTTGTGGAGGCGGGGTTCGTGGTGATTGTGGAGGCGGTGAAGGCGTTCGTGGTTGTGGTTGTGGAGGTGGTGAAGGTGTCCGTGGTTGTGGAGGCGGGGTTGGTGGTGATTGTGGCGGTGGTGAAGGTGTTCGTGGCTGTGGCTGTGGAGGCGGTGGTGAAGGTGTCCGTGGTTGTGGT